TGTGGGCTGAGTGCCAGACAGGAGGGGGAGAAGGCGACCCAGGCGTTGGAGTGCGGGGCGAGGTTCTGTTTACCGATTAAGGGGCATTCGTATCCGGTGGTTGAGTCTGCTGATGGTTTGACAAAATAGTAGTAAAGATTGCTTGAGTCGCGGCGGGAGACGAGGAGGATTAGATCCTGGGGGTTGTCGATGTGGGTGGTGAAGAGGATGGATTCGGGGTTGGAGAGTAGTGGGATGGAGGCGATGGGGTCGCCGATTTGCGTAGGGGCTTCGTCGTTGATTTGCATGCGGTAGAGGAAGATCTTGGAGTCCCAGCCTGCGGTTGCGATCCAGATTGTCGTAGAGGTGGAAGTGGTGTCTGCTCCGTCGTCGTCGTTGTTGTTGTTGTTGTCCTTCTGCTCGTAGGCGACGACTTTGACGGCGTATTTGGCGTGGTCTTTGCGGCGGTCGATGATTTCTGCGCCTTTTTGCAGAAGAAGTTGGCCGGACATGTTGGTCATGAGGATGTACCTCCCATCTTGGATCGGGATGTACGATAGAATCGGGGCTTCTGATGTGCCCGTGAATGATTGGACGAGGTCATGGCCAGGAGATGTTTGGAAGAGATGGAGGTGCCTGTCTGCGCCGGTGGCGATCAGATATGGCTCTGCTTGCGCATCTGGCCTTTGCCATTGTTCTACGGAGCATGCCAGTAGGTTTGAACTGGTTGGCGTTTGGATGATGTTGGGCTTGGTTGGTGCTGTGATAGCAGGTGAGTTTCTAGCTTGCAGCGGGGCATGGAGGTGTTAGACAGACCTGGAACGGTCCAGACATCTTTGTCCTTGTCATTGTCACCGTATCGCTCAAAGTCCTTGCTTTGGTCGAAGGCTTTCTTCTCCTCGAGTACGTTCTCGATGGTCCAGTTGCTCGTATCGTCTTTGCCGCGCTGTTCTCCCGCATCGGACGGGAGCCCCGCTTCTTGCAGGAAAGCTTTTAAAGTCTGTGTGTAGTTGTTTGTCCGTAAGAAACGGGCCACAAGGGTGCTGGCTAGTGGGATGTTTTGCGACGAGGGTGGCATCTTGGAGGTTGGGCTGGGATTGAGCGACGGGATGTAGTTTGTCGAGCGATAACTGGGGGAAAGATATATATCGGGCTAGTAGCTTCATGGCTCCACTCGGACCAGATCTATGTTTCTGACACCAAATTGAAAGTGGTCTGCGCAAACAAGTCGCCTGAGCACTACATTTTATGAGGATACCGCATTTAGTACAGTCGGAGTTAAGATGTTCTCATTCATAGGCTGAAGTACAAAAGTATAAAATATATATAGAAGGAAATATTGGTATCTTTTCACACCACCATCCCAGCAAAAGCAGAATGACAACCAAAGAGAAACCAGTCAGGCAAACATGCACATAGCGACTTGAGATGTTGCTCGCCAAAGGTCTGACCCAAAATAAAATTCTAGGCCTCAGCTAAACATGTCCTCCGCCCTGCGTCGTGGCCCTCCTCGCCCCTCAATCTTATCGGAGAACAGCTCCTTGCCGGCATTCGAACCGTACTTCGAAGGGAACAGTTCACGTACAGACGATCCCCGTCCTTTGATTGATATGCCATTTGCCGCACCACGAATCGACATCCCCTGATCCTGCCTTGCTGTCCCGCGGATGTTAAGACCGCTTGTCTCGGTCGCCTCGGGGAACAGCTCGATGTCCCGCTTCCGGCGCGCAGGTTGTTGATCATGGCTTCCATCCACAAGAGGCACTGAGATTCTTCGAGAGAATAGATCTGCGGTCTCGTCCGCAGCATCGATTGCGTCTGACCGGCGATGATTGCTAACCTTTTGAGGGAAGAGTTCCTTTGCAGTTTTGTTTGGAAAGAGCTCTCGCGCTTTCGCATCGCTAGTTTTCGCACCTGAAGACGGGAAAAGCTCCTTGCCTTCATTGCGGCGACCGAGCTGTGGCGACCGGTCGCGGAACCGTCTGCGATCCTGCCGATCATCCTCAGCATATCCGCCTTCCATCAATGTATCCCGACCGGGTGACGCGCTACGGTCGCGAAGGCGACCAGACAATCGTCCTTCTTCCTGTGGAAATAGATCGCGCCCCCCTCGCCTTCCCCGCCTTTCGCGACTGCGGTCCGACGAGCGATCGCGGCTTGCTGGCGTGTCATCGTACATATTGGCACTGAAGCTCTCGTCTGCATCGCGGTCTCTCCGGCGTTGCAGTTCTCGACCATCAAACCGTCTTCGCCTGTAATCCCCGTCACTGACATCTCCACCTCCCGAGCGTCGTCTGTCGGCGGCGAATTCTCGTCGCAAGCGTTCCCGAGGATCATGTTCAGGGTGCATGAGGTAAAAGCGACTGGCTTCGTGCGCGCGGGGCTTTTTGCGATCCGCCTTGACAGCTGACCGAACCTGGAGGACAGAGTCGGGGTGCGTAGAGAGAAGCTTCGCGGATCGTAACCGTAGAGCAGGCAACGCAGATGCATCCTCCTCCTCGCTAACCTGCGTAAAGGCTGACAGAGCTTGGAGACCAACCTCCGGCGAAGAGTATAGGAGGTTTGCCGATGTGTCATCAATCCATTCAACGCGACTTGGCTCCTCCAGGGTGAAGTGTTCGACAGCAAATTGTTTGATGTTATCCGTTGTCAACTCGTCTACACCGCGTATATGAACCTTTTCGTACTGTGCCTCCTCATTGAGAGGGTCGATGTATTCATCTTGAGCAGCTGTCGTTGCCACGAGGGTTTGTTCCTGGACAGTCCAACGAAGATGTTAGAAGTGAACAAATAGAATCTAAGATAGATTAGCAAGAATGAGACTCACAGTCTCAATTGTCTCTGCTTCCGGAAGAGGACCAAGGTCAATGTCCATGTCGATATCCATGGAGGCGTCCATTGTGTCAGCGACTGGGGCAGCGTTGGAGGCGTCTAGTTGAAGAGAAGGCTGTTGCGCGCTGGCTACCTCCATTGAGGGAGGAGACTCAGTCGGAAGACGCGGGTATTGGATCTTATGCCAAAACAAAATGAGAAGTGAAGTAAAGAAGCTTTAACAAAGCTCGATGGCAATGAACCAGAGAAGAAGAGGGGCGGCGAGGAGGCTGAGATGAGCGTAAAGTGAAGCCGAAAGGAAGTTGTCTTCTACACCGCCCGGACCAGTCGCCGGCGGAGTTTCGCCGCTGCCGCTGGCGATGATGTCGATGCTCTTTTTGTCACTTCAACTTGATCTCTCTTTTGAGTTTCAACTATCAATTAGATCTCAGAGAAGAGCTTGTTGTTTCTTCTTCTTCTTCTTTTTTTTTTTTTTTTTTTTTCTTTTTTTAAGTTTATATTCACAGGTTCATATAAAGCAGATTAGACTGATTAGACTGACAAATAGCCAAATTTGTCTATGACACTTGCTGGTGATCGGCGCGACACTGACGACGTTCATGTCAAGCAACACATGGCTAAAGCTGTCGTTGAGCTGTTGGTCACCGGTGTTCTCTTGGTGACTCGGAAATAAGATCATGGCATGCTTGTAAAGTGACAGTTCCAGATAGGACAAGGTTAATTGACTAGTCTTGACTTGAAGCAACATTCTCAGCATCAGAACACCCTTCCGATCCTATCATAGCAATGGTTCCAGCCTTATCAGATTGAAAGTCAAGTGTCATGAAGCTGCAGTCGAACTCTGATGCAAGGAAGAGCCGTGGGGGTAACCAATCTGATCATGTCCCACTGAAAGCTCTATGGTCTATTCGCATCACCAATTGTTCTCGCCTCACTCGATGATACTTGTGGCGTGACAAAAGCGAGCATAGTCTTCCCTGTGGTTTCGGTTCTCACTGATGTGAAGTTGGTCCCATACTTCCAGCTGTATCGTCTCTCCATCCAGATCAATGATCTGAGTTGACTGAGTGACCTGCTTTCGAATGGTAGCAATGTACCGAGACTCGAGAAATGACGCTATCTTATAGTTTGATACATTGTCGCGAATGCTGCAGTTCCGTTCATTCTCAACCCCCCAGTGGAAGTCTCATTTAGCCTTTAAGTGGTACATCAAGCCACGTACTACCCTAGCAGATGGTTATCAAACGGTGCCTCAACTGCCAGGTCACTTTCCTGCTCTGTTTCACCGTCTGATAAACGGTCAGGCCCGGCTAAAGCCCGGGCTACCCCCACCGGAGTTCCAGGAGATACAGTCTTCGATCATGTGAGAGCCATTACTTCTTGTAACTTCCGCCGTTGCCGTTGTCAAATGGCGAGTCTGCTCTTCACAAACTAAGATGGCTTGACACCTGATCCGCGTAGGGTGCTGTCGCTTCGCACGATGATAATTAACCTCGCCGGATTGTCGTCCCGAAGTTCCTGCTGCAGTACGATATAGAATGCCAGTGGTGAATACCATGGACCATAAGGATGCAACTTTTCAGGAATTTGGGGCGAATATGATGGTATATAGATTTTCTTTTACATGTAGAGCAGCCTACAGCATCAGCGGCTAACGCTAGCATAGAACCGTGTATTCGTTCCACCTATTAAACAAACTGCTGTAGATCAATCTAACTATCCAGCAAACTTGCAATGAGTCGGGTCAAGATAGCAAGATTGCAATCATGACCAGATGCAATCTTGTGTTGCCGCCTTCCCCGCTTCTTGTCATCTCGAGTCTCCCCCGGAACTTCACCTCCTCACTAAAGGATTGTGGCGGTTAACATTAGGCTATATTCCTCTATCCCAGCCCAATGAATCCCATTCGTGGACCCAAATGACTTCCGATCTCTTGGCCGGAACAAGTCATTCGCTCTAGGGCAGTCGTTTCTCTACGCTGCCTTTTCTACTGGAGGAAGATGAATGAATCTGGTCGGCAGTATGCCCGTCGTGGCGTTGGTGACACTGTGACGCAGGCAGCGATGCGGCCCTAGCAGGATGCTCTGTGTCCATTCCCCAATTGGACCGCATCTATTCTACAGTTAGAACAGTCATCGTGAGGGGCTGCAATTGCACAGCATGTTCAATCACCCCCCTCATTTCCACATCTTAACTGACAGGTTCAAAACAAATAGAGCCCTTCCCATACTCCAGTGACCTTTAGAATCCACTTCCATCGCATCCCCACCCAGACAACCACACCACCATCACAATGCTCTACACCGAAGACAACAAACTCATTTTCCGGTTCGACGACCACCTCCTCTGGATCCAGCCATGGGGCGACAATGCGCTCCGAGTAAGAGCCACAAAACTGGCCTCCATGCCCACCGAAGACTGGGCCTTATCCTCCAAGATCCCATCAACCGAACCTACCATCAGCATCGAAGAGCACAAAGACTCCAGTATCACCAACGGCAAGATCACAGCCAAAGTATCCCAACGCGGCAAGATCACCATCTACAACCACAAAGGAGACAAGCTGCTCGAAGAATACGCTCGCAATCGTCGCGATCTCAAGGACCCCAAATGCAGCGCCCTAGAAGTCGAAGCTCGCGAACTGCGACCAATCCTAGGAGGCGACTTCCATCTGACCATGCGATTCGAGTCGCTGGAACCTAAAGAGAAGATCTACGGAATGGGGCAGTACCAACAGCCCTTCCTCAATCTCAAGGGCGCGGATATCGAGCTAGCGCATCGGAACTCTCAAGCCAGTGTCCCCTTTGCGCTCTCCTCCCTTGGTTACGGGTTCCTGTGGAACAACCCGGCTATCGGACGAGCTGTGCTAGGGACGAACACCATGAGCTTTGAAGCTTACTCTACCAAAGTGCTCGACTACTGGGTCGTCGCAGGAGACAGCCCAGCTGAGATCGAGGAAGCCTACAGCAAAGTCACCGGCTATGTGCCGATGATGCCCGAATACGGCCTCGGGTTCTGGCAATGCAAGCTGCGATACTGGAATCAGGAACAGCTTCTTGACGTCGCACGAGAATACAAGCGACGAAACATACCATTAGATCTCATTGTCGTTGACTTCTTCCACTGGAAACATCAAGGAGAATGGAGCTTCGATCCCGAGTTCTGGCCTGATCCGGGTAAGTCCTTCACATACATCTAGATAGATAGATATATAACTCTATCGCCAACTAACACACTCCCCCGCCACACAGACGCCATGATCAAAGAACTCCAATCCCTAAACGTCGAGCTGATGGTCTCCGTCTGGCCAACCGTCGAAAACGCATCAACCAACTACCCCGAAATGCTCGAAAAGGGCCTCCTAATCCGCCACGACCGGGGGCTCCGCGTATCCATGCAATGCAACGGCGACATCACACACTTCGACGCCACGAACCCGGCCGCACGCGCCTACGTCTGGAGCAAAGCGAAACAAAACTACTACGACAAAGGCATCAAAGTATTCTGGCTCGACGAAGCCGAACCCGAATACTCCGTCTACGACTTCGACCTCTACCGGTACCACGCCGGCAGCAACCTGCAAATCGGCAACATCTTCCCTAAAGAATACGCGCGGGGGTTCTACGAAGGCATGGAATCGGCAGGACAAACCAACATCGTCAATCTCCTACGGTGCGCCTGGGCCGGGAGCCAGAAGTACGGCGCCCTAGTTTGGAGCGGCGACATAGCGTCCTCGTGGTCGTCGTTCCGCAACCAACTAGCGGCCGGACTAAACATGGGTCTGGCAGGGATACCCTGGTGGACGACAGACATCGGGGGCTTCCATGGAGGCGATCCATCGGACCCAGCATTCCGGGAGCTATTCACCCGCTGGTTCCAATGGGGGGCATTCTGTCCTGTGATGAGACTGCACGGCGATCGGGAACCCAAGCCGGAGAACCGGCCTACGGATTCAGGATCCGATAATGAAATCTGGTCGTATGGTGAGGAAGTCTACGAGATCTGTAAAAAGTACATTGGGATTCGCGAGGAGTTGCGCGATTACACGAGAGGGTTGATGAAGGAGGCGCACGAGAAGGGAACGCCCGTCATGCGTACACTGTTCTATGAGTTTCCTGCTGACAAGAAAGCATGGGACGTCGAGACGGAATATCTCTTTGGCTCGAAGTACCTTGTTGTGCCGGTGTTCGAGGCTGGGAGGAGATCTATCGAGGTGTATTTGCCGGCTGGGGCGTCGTGGAAGGTTTGGGATCAGGATGATGTGATACATGAGGGAGGGAAGGTGGTTCAGGTGGAGTGTCCGATTGAGACGATGCCGGTATTTGTCAGGGTTTGAGTGAGAGTCTCGTGGGATATTTTGTATTTGGGTTTGGCAGTTGCCTGGCGGTGATGGGATGAATTGATGTATTCGACAGGGGGGATAGGGTTGGATGTATCAACTTGCAAATTGTCAGAGGGAGAGATAAGTTCAGCCACTATCCACTAAAGTAAATCACAAATGCAATCTGTCAGCATGTGTATGTGATGAACTGACTCGACACTCTCGTAGAAAAAACTTACAGTAATGCTGCTACTGGAATATCGTGGCCACAGTGCATCCATCCATCCAGCAGGTAGGGAACAGAACCAGTAAGTAGGGAGGGGGCAAATGACAAATCTAAAGAGCGACTTCGATAGCCCTTTTTTTTCAATACTTGGGTCAATGGTTTATCTCCTTTCTTTTTCTTGCTTCATTTTCAGCCTCGCCAAGGAAAGAAAAGCAAGAAAGTGTTGCATGGATGGATTCTTCGACGGCTGAATCTCATGGCAAAAGCGTGGCAACTATCGAGTACTAGAGAAGTAGCGAACATTCTACAAGATGAGTCTGGAAGCTCTCTTCTTAGATTACTTCTCTTTCCACTTCGATCGATCTAGTGGCGACCAGGGTCTCCATGAAGATGTCCCTGGTCGCCCCCAAGCGTAGCCACAAAAATGAGCCCAGCTTAGCCACATGGCCCAAGGAATGGGTTTCTGGCAGGAAAAAGAAAAGGGCAATGTATGGCTCAGCCCAGCCACAGAGTGGATTCATCAATAGGAGGGAATAGTTCTTGGATCTGTAATAGGCGGAAACAGGGAAGTACGTTGGAATTTGTCCAGACTCAACAGAGTTTGTGTGTTCTTCCCTAGTCTCTTCCTTCTGCCCTTCCAGGCAATAGACAGTAAGTTAGACCGTCTCACCGTTGGATATACGAACGGGATCGATTGGCCCCCAGAAGAAGTACCAATGTCACAAGTGGAAGTCTGTGCAGAGAGCTATGACTGCTGCGTCTAGTGAACCTTAAAAATTTGGCAGCGAATCGAAAGGCCTCGCGTGGAATTATGCAGCCATCTCAGCTTTCTGCACGCTTCAATCAGTTTTCTTAGCCACCGTAGCTCCGGAAAAGTTGGCTCAAAGAGGCCAGTGCAGTGCATATCATGGGTCTGGGTGGGCACCGTCGCATCGCTTGCTATCTTCACCCTCCCCTTATTTGTTCCTTTCCGTGCCGTCTGCCAGGTATACTCCCGAAGTCTTCCCTGACGGCTCGATTGGAGAGGCAGGAGCGGATCGCCAGAGAGGAGGAGGGTTGCCTAAAGAGGAGTTGAGGGTAGTGGGGATGGCTTCTGACGGAGTAGTTCGTTATGGAGCCGTACGTAGACGCCGACTCGGCAAATGCACGGTCGTCAAAAGTCATCGTAGGACGGCTTGTGCAGAAGAATTTGCCGTTCCAGACCCTCTTTTCATTTATTTCTTTTTCCCTCGTTGGTCTCTCGGTTACCTTTGTGGGTTTTTTTTCTTTTTGCACAGGAAAAAAGGATTGAGGCCAAAGCTTAACCCTGGATCCTTAGGGACAAGTAGTGCGACGCCATCGTTTCCATCGTTCCTATTCTCAGTACCTCCCCGGGCTGATGTTAGCAAGCGATTGATCCATCATGCCCCATTGTCAGTGGTGCGACAAACCAACCGATCCGACACTCCCTAGTTCCAGTTTCTGACCCAGATGTGCCGAGAATAGATCTGAGGGCTGCTACAAACTGGTAGCCTCCGCAAAGGACTGAGAATTTGACGGGAAAGAAGGGAAATTAAGGAAGAACGGGTGGCTCCAGGGCCATGGAAACGGACCAAGATTCTATCCTTCTTGGTGAGGGAAGCGGCCGCCGTTCCCGGGCAAGCGGCTAGCTCGTGGGTTCTTTTTCTTGGTTGGATGAGGAGGACGGCACATCCACGGCTCCAATGGTCCTTACCTCAGCGCCGGGACTGAAGGCTGAATGGGTCGTGAAGATTGAGTTTTGACCGGGTAGATTGGGTTTATTCGGGTGCACTGGCTTGGTCTGGTTGGCCCGGAGGCCCACTGATGTTCCTGCCACTCGCTACAGTCGGTAATCCGTGAACCATCCTATTGATGATTCACCTCTTGGCCCCAGGTGGCAGGGCCTCCTGTCCCAGGACGTTAGTCGTATGTTACTCTGATCACTCTCTGACCACCACGGGACCTAGGCTGCAGGTGCACACTCATCCGTTGGCACCAGTCACGAATAAACTTTTTTGACAGCGGGAGTGCCGTGGAGAACGAGTTCTGGTAACGGTTGGAGTAGAAGTACAACGGGCAGCACTGATGCTGATGATGTCTTGTGATCCCCTCTGGTTACCAGCTGACAAGTATCGCTGAGAATGGAATCAAGAGGGTGTGGGTGGTGGAAAAAGAGAGTATCTCACTCAATTTGTCAGATCTCAGGGAAGACTCGAAGCTGGTTGCATTCCAGTCTCGACAAAAGTCAATAGTGCCGTCACATCACATTAATCTGCATTGGTCCAGGAATCCACCACCATCACCCCAAGACATAGGATCAAGGCGTCAGCTGCATTGGAGAGAGTTCACTGCAGCTCGGCCATGGTGGTAGTAAGAGTGACTGGCCGCGTCAACACGACGTATCCGACCTCTAGGATGTGCGATGAAGTTCCCCAGAGTTTGTGGAAGGGGTAGTACAAGGAAAACCCAAGTAACTCCAGCTGAGCACATTGTGTATACATGGATGATGAAGAAAGAGAAGAAGAAGATGATGATGATAGTCTTCCTTGAGCTGAGGAAAAGAGATAGTTCCTTCGATCCTTCTACACCTTCCAATTCAGGAAATACCATAGGACAACAATGTGTATGTGCCTCCCCTATGACGAAAGACGTAGCATTACACAACCAGCCATCACTCCAAGTAAGTAGTAGTATAGTACTTATTCTAGCCAACCATGTATAGTATCATATCAGTATACATCATTCATCCATCATCATGGATACATCGATTTCTCTACGGGGAACTACCTGGTTACTGTGGCAGACAGGCATACCTAGTTCAATACCCGACTCCAGATGTATACATACGTATGAACTGTGGATTAGATACTGAGATAGTTACTATTCTGACGGAAGGGTGGTACTGGAAGGAATCCTGCGGTGTAGCCATTATCGCTGCATCATGGTGCCTCTATCCCCTTGTTGGGATTCGCAGGCGTAAAAGCGAAGCGGGGGGAGGAGAGTGATAACTTGGTGTGTTTGTGTGTGTGTGTGGCAGTGAAGGTAAACTGGTTTGTTTCTACTTGGTTACAGATACTCCGTACTAAGCGTACTAGATAGATACGGTAAATCCATACAGTCACTAGCTAAGTAGTTTACCGCGCTGAAGTAAGGTAACACGACCCCCGGTGGGGATCCTGGTCAGCCGGGAGGACGGGGCACAGCACCTCCTTTGTCACACTAAACCCAAAGAGATAATCGGGGCAATGCCCAGCCGGGCATCTGGGAAGGATCGGGGAACCCACATGGTCCCCGAAGGGGAAGACATAAACCCCGATCAGAGAGGGCATCCAATCACGGGCTTTCCTGCCAATTCTTGCTGCATCCTGTATGTACCCTTCCCTTCACATTCACCACCACTTTCTCCCTCACCCCTCCCCTCTTTAAAATTCTCCACCTCCATCAGATACCGCGCGACGTCATGGGTCTACCCATCTACTCCATACTAGCTAGCTAACGACGGAGTCCTTGAACTGGGTACCACCGGGGATTGATTCCACATTCTCCGACATCAGAAGTGAGGTGAGGAGTAGAACGACAGAATACATACACGTACCTTAGATCTGGAACCGCCCATCTCTCGATCCATCCTGGTTATCACGGGACGGGTTTGACCGTTTTTTTTTTTTTTTGGGACCATGGATCAAGGTCCAGGCAACCCAAATGCTAGGATACGGAAAACGGATACATAAAATAAATTCAGAAGAAAAAAAAAATCAAAAAATGAACAGTATGTGCCACCAAGCAAGGATGATAGGTTGAGAAGGATGCAACATAGTACGGACTCGACCTATCCTCGAGAATGTCTCAACACTAGTTAAGACGATGTAGGGTAACTTACAACCGCACCCTCCTGTTTACTATTACTGAATGAAGACATTGAATCCTTTACCAAAAAGTTCCCAGGTACTATAATCCCCGATTCTAATCATGCGCTGGTTTGAAATCCACGCAACCGGTATAAATCGACAGGGCATGTGTCGGGACTGTGGTACACAAACGGGGTCTACTGACTCGGTAAACGCATGGGAGGGAAGGGAAAAAAGGAAGAATTAGAAAAAAAAAAGAAAAAAAAAAAAAAAAAAAAAAAAAATGGGCGGAAGAATTATCAACTCAACAGCCATGCATGATTCATGAAAGCGTCAAGACCAACAAAGGAAGAAGATGAATAGCAGCGTAGTAGCAAACTCGTTGTCGTCTCAATACTTATCGTCCTCTTTACTGTACTGAAATACCATTGGCTCTTCAAACCACGGAAAACAAGAAGACTCCCTAAATGACAGGCGGTGCTCGGACCTCCTGAGGTTCGCAGACTTGGAGGCCCGACAGTCAGGAAACAGCGGCGGGATGCGAGAGAGCCGTTCGCTCCACTCTTCAACTGACCCCCCCATACGGTGTCCTGCAGTCGGGGATCCCTGCCCATCTATCTTGTCTCGCTCTCTCACCCTCTCTCTGGTTACTACAATTCCTTTTGATTTGACGGCTGTACGACGTCCTGCGGACGCTGTGTGCGTATGTGTGTGTGGAGGTACACAAAGTCGGTCGCGCGGTCGCTCTCTCGCTTAGAACTTCACTGTTACATATTCTATTGACCTTCTAGTAGTAGTACCCCGAAAAAAAATATTAATCAAAAATCCGCCTTGTATCCCCTCTCATACGAAAATCATATTCAACTAAATCAGTGGCGCCCAGTAGACAGGTACCAAAATTAACATCTTACACCCTTCAAAAGAAAAAAACAACACTAATCGTGGAGCAACAGCTGAAGATTTAATATATTCAGTGGCCAGGCACTGCTGAATATATTCCAGATCTGGCAAGTGGCAGGGGAGATCAATCAAGGAATCCCGGGTGCTGCACGCTAAGGTATGGGTCAACCAGGGTTTATCTCAAATACTTCCCGTGTCTCTGATTGGCAACCCAAGGCCAAGGTACATCGGGGACCATCGACCGGGGTTAAACAAAGTAGTTAGACTAGACCGGGCAAGTCAGAGTAGTCCTAGTAGGTGACTTAGTAAGGTGGTCGTAGCACTGTACATCATCGCTACTAGGATTTAGACTTCTTGTGTGGCCCCCCCCCTCCTTCGTGATCAATTCAATAGTACACACTACACACGGGTTCCTTCTTTACTTTGCTTCCGTCCAGCTGGGTCTGGAGTAGTCGTGGTCACGATTAAGATGGAATTAGTATTTATTACTATTTATCCTTAATGTATGTAGTGATGGTACCTTACAGCTAGTCTGTGCGTTGTTCAAAACAGTTGGATCGGTCATATGTATAGTAGTAGTAGTAAGTTGTTGTTCATCTGCCTCAAAAATATATATTTCTGCGGGCCGCTGTGGTGTTGCAAAAGGACGATCACACATCGAATCTTCTTGGTACTTTGTAATCTCTTTGATGAAATGACGTACGTATGTCGACTCCAGTAGTTTTAGTAGTTTTTGAAGTACATTCAAAAAATAATGGAGAGTTACTAGTAGTACGTAGTAAACTACTTAGTACTAACCGAGTGGAAAAAGCTGCGTAAGTAAAGTGATGTATGGATTGTTTCCCGTAAGTAAGTAAACTATGTATGTAAATCCGTTTGTTCGTTTTCTTGTACACGGTACTCCGTACCACGAGGTTAAGTAGGCAGATCGCAAGTACCCGTCCACATGGCAGGCTTGTAACCCTCCCACGACGTAGATGGCGTTTGACACCGCTCAGAGCCACCAACTTTCCCCTGATTTCTTTATTGAAGTCAGAAAGCCCTCCGTAAAATGGGGTCGTGGGGGAGACTTTGTGATTTTCTTGTGATACCAAGCGGGTTTTATTCTTATTTCTTAAATCACCGGGGTAATGCTAGTTTACTTTTCATGTATATCCGAAGTAAGCCCAGGCGGGCGGGAGCATACGTTAACAGACGTTGACATGGATATGATGGCAGGATTCGGGGACCTGGAATGTAAGTTGTGTAATAGAGGGTAAATGGTTGTGTACTATAGTAAGTATCTAACGTAGTGAAATGTATTCCAGTTCCCACTAATAATTACTGGGTCACAACAGTTTGTTGACGGGATGCTTATGAGCGATTTGGTTGGCGGTCCGGCCCACAATATGATATGATTTTTTGTTCAGTTTGTGTGTATAGTATGTGTGCGCGTGTGTTTTGTGTGGAGGCGAAGGCAAAGAGAGGGGGTGGTGGAAAAACAGAAAATGACTAAAGGTCCAAAGAAGGAGAATGCTATTGTCCATTTGAAGAAAAAATAAAAAAGAACCTCGTTAAAGCATGGCTAAAACACTATGGCGAGCCGAGACCATCAATTACATTTCTCCAGATCGTACCTGTCAATTGCATTAATCTCGCCTCAATCAAGATTAATCTAAGTGCGTCTTCGTCCTTTTGACGAGGTCGCAAAGGCCTACCGAGATCGCTCTTTTTCCCTAGACTTCCCCCCTCCCAGTCCGCGATCATCATTACCCAGATGGGACTAGCCCCGCGCTTCCAGAATGACAAATACCTTATTTTGGCAGACCAATCAGCTGCTAATATGGGGCAGTGGTTCGTCACGTCATGCAGTTCAGGTCCTCAGGGGTTCGTGCTTACTAGCCCGTTTAGGTGAGTTGAGGAACCAATTGGTAACTGATACCTCAGTAACTAGGCTGCGGTACTACCAGTTTGGCGGTATTGATGACAATTAGGCCCGAAACAAGTGAAGTTACACTCTAACCGTCCACACAGCTCTTTCGCTTCCATCCTTACTTTACAGGAAGTATGCTGTAGGTTTTTTCCCCATTGCGCACTCCATGATTTGATGACGTTCAACGGCTTGACTCGTGGCACTCTCTTCCCCTGAGATGCCTTTTTTTGCCCTTTCCCGTTGGTGACCTGTAAGCGAGTAACCTCTGTCAACCGCGCTTTGCTAAGAGAGTAGAATAAAAATGGAGCTTTGAATTTCCGTTGAGCCGGTGAAGGTGACAGTTGGTTACCCACACAGCATTCCAGTAAGAGAATCTGTATGTCACAACTTCCGAAACGATGTAAGGCGGGAGAGGGGGACCATCTGTTGCTCTGTGCTGTAATAGAGTGTGTGAGAGTGAGCGAGTCTGTGACAAGACAAATCCAGCCATACAGGTCGGATGACCCCGAATATTTCCTCCCCCTCCCCCTTCATCCGGAGAAAATCTTTATCAAATTCCATCAGTTCGGGGGGAGGCTAGGCAGGGAAAATAGAAGCCTGGAAGATTTTCTCGGAGACGCCGATGGAGGGTGGTGGTGGTGGTGACCTGGAACAATAGTTACTGCAAGAAAAGAAACGACGCATGGCAAAACATGGCGATGCCTTCATAGTTGCTAATAGTTTGGACGAGAAGAGTAGATGATAGACCTGCAGAGACGACTGCACGATGATCTGGATCCGATCGTCTTGAACAATTGACGAAGTTTATTGTTCCCCCCTTCCCACGCCACTGGGAATCGAGGACACACTACTACTACTAACTCTTACCAGTTACCAGGGCCTTCGATTCGCCAAGCGCATTACATCGAGCACTGAGTGATCAACCTAGATCGCCCAATCGCAGCAACGTTGTATCCGATCGAACAATAGTTCCGAGGGCAAGGTTTTGGGATGGATGGCAGGCGAACAATACTAGTAAACCCATAGTCTTGGATGGTTAACTTTAGCTTCTTGAGTGTGACCCCATCCATTCCCACCGCTTAGTATGACAGCGGGACGGTACCGGCGTGGTGAGCTGACAAGCACTTTACTCTGTCTGGCTTAGGGAAACAGGTAACCCCTCATAAAAGGCACTGGTACTTTCCGTTGGTCACGTATCATTTGGAATCTTCCGACCTTCCCCGGATGATCGTGACCAAAGTCATCGTAGAAAGGACAATATACGGGGCTTTTTTAATTTATGTACGCACTCCATAGCTGCAGAGCAGGGTGAGGCTAGTACCTGGCTGGGAGGGCCATGCTCAAGGTGCACAGCCAATGACGAGGCAGAAGGCCACTCTGCCACATTGATAGGCAATTCCGAAAAGGGGGAACCTGAGGATTCCATGAGATCTATCATACTTCTGTTGCATTGCCTACAATGGCGAGTCTCGTCGCTGATCCCTCACCCGGATAGAACCCTGCAGGTCAACGTGAGTCGGAACTTGTATACTGAGTGCTGGTTGGATGAACCCGAGAAATCTACTTACGTAGTAACCCATTTTTTCTCCCATCCATTTCCCCTTCTGATTACTCTATACGGAGAATGAAGATGTGGTTCAGCGTTGCGTCCCAATTGAGCGAATAGTAGTAATCCACTGCTTAGTGGTTGTAGTAAAAGTAGTAGTACCTATCTGAGCCAACTGCACGGGCATCCACTGCGTTGTTCTGAGCCAATCGACTTCAAGCCCTTTATCTTCGTACCTGATCGACTTCGGGATGCAGAAAAAAAACGACAATGAACCGAGGTGACGGGACAGCGGTCCCGTGTCTCTGGTGCAGAGGGATTCAGATCGAGTGGGCTAGTAAGTACGTAGTTAGCATCTGTGTGTAAGAAAACGATGGAAAGCGAGAAAAGATATCCGAGGCAATATGCCGTAATGATTGGTCACCTCAAGGAGTTATGACCAAGATGACTAACAACTCGGTGGTGAGAACGAGTCCGATCTTTGGTAATCTCTGGTAAGTGCGCTTGCCTTATGCCTGGCAGCCGGTAGCACCGGCGCGAAGGTACTCCGGCCCAGATTCGAGATTGCGTACGATCCCCATGTCGATCCCAACCCTACCGGGTATAAGACAAAGCCAAAAGATTCCAAATCTTCAAAGGGCGCTAGCCGCTCTGCACCAATCACTGCCCCCACTCAAACGGTTCATGTTCTGGGTAACGGCCCACGGGGAGTGGAGGAGGGATCAAGCCTGCGTCCGGTGCGGATGAGGGTTAGCGGCGGCCAATGGGCGCCACCAGCCAAGGGTGAGGCCAAAAGTAGGAGGGTTACAAATTCCTCCTACTACTGAGGGCTAACTACGTATTGTAGTAGAATATAGTACTTTACTCGAGGGTAAAAAGTGGGAGAAAAAAAAAAAGAGTGTTCATGGCTGGCTGATGGACATGGTCTCGAATCAAATCACTGCAAGCAATAGTAAATATGGTGGTGTGTTGGGGGGAAGGAAGAATAAAATTTACCCAGTATTTGGTAGCTGTGAACAATGCGCAACAAGAATTGTCATCTCAATAGTAATAATCAAAGATGAAGTGTAATGTATACCTAGAGTGGACAAGCCCATGACTCGATCCTTTGCCTACAATGGCCCTTTTTGCCTATCAACTTGCCTGGGGGAGAAGGAGGAGAAGGAAGAAGGAGGGGGGGTTGTGCGGGCGCCTGTCCACGATTTCGGTACACCTTAACGCCATTATGCAACCACTCGGGGGTGCTCAAATCGGTAATCTACTTCCCTGTCCCCTGCTCTCTGTATCTTCTTTTCCCTCCTTCCTCTGCCCTCCATCAGAATTTCTAATTCCGAGGTTGCCCGCCCCGCCTGACTGACCCATGGAAACCCATCCGGTCAGTATGACCACTCCTATCCTCATTCGCCTACCTCCCAGACCGTTTCTGCCGCTCCCGTTTTCCTGTCAGGGCCTGAACTTTGACGAGCATGGGCCAGTCCATACGTACCCATACTTACCTAGTACGTAGTAGCAGTCGAAACTGGATCTGGTGGATAGATCGCCCATGGTCTGCAGTCTGCCATAAGAAGCGGAAAAGGGCCGTGAACTAACCAACTAGGCTTGGGATCTTCCCGTTTAGTCGACGCCCGACTGATCGGTACCGTAGACTTGCTCGCACTTTTTCTCCCTCTTGTGTTTTGAAAAGCACCCACAAATTTTTAATTAATTCTCCCTGTCGTGCTGCTATTATTGTACCGTTTCATCGCGCCTATCTGTCGGATCAGCTGGGCTGATGCGGAAAGTTGGAATTTCTCATCCATCTATTCCATTACTATTCTTTCCGGTCAAGGCAATTAGTCTCTATCGAGAGGGTTTTGTCACCAACAGGATTAAACTATCAACGATGGATGAGTAGATCAACCGACCAGGATGTGATGTCCGAGAAACGCCGTAGTCAAAAAAATCACATTCTGAATAGCATGCTTGCTAGATGCCCTGTGTGGCACACCGTAAGAAGATGGCACTCGTGTCAACCAGGGTAGCCTTGCCACAGATACGATTCATGGAATGGGTTCCCCTGGACGTCTCAGCCTGCTTCTTGTCTCTTACACAATGTTCTTCGATACCGCAGTTCTTTGACAAAAGAGAGGAACGGGGGCAAATTAGTTGCAGGAAAAAGGATCAAGTCGACTGTAGAGTATCCATCTCTATGCCTCACCACGCCAGTAAGAATAGTATCATCCATGATCCCTGCTGCAACACCGATCCTCTGGTAAGTAATCAGTCACTACTAGGTTAGCACCTATAGTAGGTATTGGATAGTGGCAAATCCTCTCCCCACGATCTGGAAACGCCAGCTTCTGAGACTGCTGCAACTGATCCTGATAGCTGCCCTGTTTCCTTTTTTCCAGCCCCTCCGTTGGTCGTGTGGTTGCTTTGCAATTCTTTCCTTCTCTTCCACCCCCCCTGTCAATTGATGGGTCTGAATTACCCAAAAGAGATACTGCAAGAAGTTGCCCGTCAACCTCACATTTCCCCACTTTGACCTTCAAAGATCGGTTATAGTCCAGACACATTGAATTAATTTTTATTTCTTATTTTCTTTTTTGTCATCATATAGCCCGCACCCGCAGTGCCTCCCATATAGTCACAGCCTGGGGCGTCAAAAGGGCTATAGTAGTAGAGCTATGGATGAAGGTCAATCTAAATTAATCAAATGGACTAGCCTAGTAGGTCTGTGCCCCTAGGCTAGCTCTGCCTCCTTGAGGAAGGCTACCTGAGGTGGTACCTGCCTAATACCTAGCTTCCCCCCTACTAAGGACTACCTGTTACTACTACCAGTGACTAGTGTAATTTACACGCATACTGCGGTACTAAAAGTAAACTATACGGACAATACCATACATACCGAGCGGGTACTGACTGGGGCGTCAGGAAAATAAAAAAAAATAAAAAAGAGGAGGGGGGGTCAGAAAATCGAAAATCAGAAAATCAATTTAGGGAAAAATAAAATCATCACAACACAAAAAATTAAAAAATCCAATTCCAAAAAAAATCAATAATATTTGGCATTTATTGTTATTAAATTTATTCCTCCGACACAACTGTCAGCTCCGAGATCTTGGATCAGATCTTCTCCTATAGCGTGCTCTAAGTGTGGAGCAGTAGCCATTTTTCTCTGACCCGTCTCCCTGGTCATTGTATTCTGCTGCTGCTGCTTGTTGCTATAATAGATGATCGTAACCTTCATCTCCATCACTCCTTGACACGACTATTGTCTATCGCCCTTTCTCTAATTCCAATTCCCCCTTCCGGGTCTCACCTCTCTTCCTATATATCTACCACCTCGACGACGCACCTTTGAACCTTATTCTTTCTCCATCATCAAACAAACTCTCACTCCCCAACTTCCCACTCTTACTTCCTACATAACCCAACAGCTCGGTTGCGTGGTCATTGCTCCTCCCTCCTTGCTTGTCTATCTACCCTACTCTCGTCCCTTATCCATCACCCGCGTGTGTGTCTATTACACTTGTGTGTGTGTCTGGTCTAGTCCGCTCCGGGTACACTAAACCTCCCACACAGCCAACCCCACGGTAAGAAGCCCTGTTCCCTTTAAAGACGTCAACCCTCCCCGCCCACGCATAGTACCTGAACTTTGTCGGCGCCCCCCTTCGACTGTCCCCAACTCTCTTTAAAAACTCTCCGACCTCCTGGCATTTCTGGAGTCTAACATTACATCCTTAGATTTACAACTCCCCAAATTCTTTCCATCAATCACTCGGATTAATTCTTCCTTGTCAACTACTTGCAATGGCTCCCACTCATCGTCGTGGACCCTGGGTTCCCGAAGAGGACCAGTTGCTCCTTCAGTTGGTTCGCGAACAAGGCCCCAACAACTGGGTCCGCATCTCTCAGCACATGCACTACCGCTCGCCCAAGCAATGCCGGGAGCGCTTCCACCAGAACCTCAAGCCCTCTTTGAACCGTGAGCCCATCTCTGCTGAGGAGGGCTTGATGATCGAGCGGATGGTCAACGAAATGGGCAAGCGCTGGGCCGAAATTGCACGACGCCTTGGAAACCGCAGCGACAATGCAGTTAAGAACTGGTGGAACGGCAGCATGAACCGCAAGAGAAGAGGTCTCCCTACCTCCAGCTCGCCTCACGCCGGACGCACGATGCACGGACGGGTCGAGGCCCCATATGCGCGGGCCTCTCTGGGCATGAGCAGCCCCATCAGCCGTTCTCGCTACTCTTCCATCTCCAACGACCGACCTCTCACTTCCTGGACCAAGTCTCCTTCATCTCGGAGGGATTCCTTCTCCGCCTCTTCCATCGACTGCCCCCGCCAGTTGACCCCGATCTACACACTTCCTGCTCTCAACCGCCCTGTCGAAACTCCTCTCACCTCGCCTGCCTTCTCGGAAGCTTCTTCCATGGAACCTCCCTCCATGATCTCGGACCACAACTCCGTCTCTTCCTCCTCTCCCAGGACCATCGCCTCCCCACAGCTTCTTCCCCTTCCGGTGGACATGAGACAGCAATACGGCGACTTCCGCAGGCAGAGCACTTCGGATGAGATCTATGCCTACCACGATCTCTCGTTGAAGCAACGGTGGATCTCCGATCACCAGCAATGGAACCAGCACTCTCCGCTATCTCCCACATGGTCTGCTCCGATCGAAGACAAGACAGAAGCCCCGCGCGACTCGCGGATGGGTCTTCAGAACTTACTCAACTAAATGACGATAGCGACCATTGCTGGATATGATCAACGAACTTTTCTTCTGTCATCGATTTTCTATGGGAAATTTTATGTACATGACCTCCCGACCCTCGTCACTCCTTTGTTTGGCATAATTTCCTTTGTACTTATATCATCACCTCATGTATATTGTCTTTTTGGATGGTTCGGCTCGGCTATTTCCACTGCGGGTCACGTGGATACGGCCCGGTTTCCTTACGGTACCAAAAAAAGCATTCGGGATCTCCTTTTGTCATAGTTATTGTGTTCCCTTCCCTTATTTTCTTTGTCGCTCATCATTTGGCTTATTGGGTATGGGGTTAATCATTGTGTATAGAGGAGATTGAGGAGTGCTGTCCATTGTTTTGCATGTATATGGTTGGGTTTTGGAGACTTTTGGAAAGTACTGTGAGCTTGGATCTAATAATACCCCATGACTGTTGGTTGTGTTACATTGCGCTATCGACCAGATGATCGTTTAATGATACATTAATAATACTTCCCACTCAAATACCTCCTCTCTTCTCTCCCTTAAGTTGTAAATTTCGATTACTGTTCCTTTGACTAAATTCCCTCTCGACACGGCCAACCTCCACCCACCCATTCTGGATGGGGGATGTTCCGGATCTGGCAGGCTTATTTTTTTTGGGCGCCAGCCAGGCTTGACCGTTGCGCCCATGGACGAGCCCAGGAGGATGATAGGGGGCGAGGATCCACTGGAACAACGCCGCATATCCTCCGTGACTGTGGCTGGCTGTCATCAGCTCCTGTCTTCCCGTGAAAGCCGCGGAATCTGAGGTTCAGAACGCAAGGGGCGACCCAAAGTTACGAGGCGAGACTGCATCGGAGAGACACGAGCAGGTTCAAAGAGGGAAGGCAGCGTGACAGCGCCATTACTGGGTTTGAAGAGACCGAGAAAACCCGGGTTTTCAGGAATTATGAAAATGAAAAAGGCCTAAAATGGAATATTGGTCATTGGAAAAGAAAATAAGAATGATTTCCGAATTCACATTGAAGGGAGTGGAAACTACCACCACATACTACATACACACATACATACATACATACATACATACAAGGTGGGCTGAACAGAGACACAGCAGCAGTAACACCGGACAGCATTCACCAACCGTCGTTGGCGCATGGCAGACCATCTCCACGGGAAAGGTGGAATGGATAGGTCCATTAGGAATATAGCTGACGACTGTCTGATCCAATCCTTCCACTTGGAGTTTCGGGATTGGCATGGCGAATGAATATGGGGGGGGGGGGGGGGGGTGGATAATGGAAGTCGTGATGGTTCATGCATAACGGCCAATGTCAATGGAAATGCTCTCAATGGCCGGAAGGCTTTACCCTTTCTCCCCCCTCCACTACCAGCACCACCACCATCACCTCCTCCTCTCACTGAAGTACTACGTTAACTTGGCCCCAGTTGGGAGGTAAGGTTGATAGCCAGACAAAGTCTATCCTAGGGACTTGGTGGATTCCGATTTGACTGGGTTGATTCGCCAGCGCCCCTCCCTTTCCCTTTCTACCCTCCCTTTCTTTACTCGTTTACGCATATGTCGTTAACGGTCTCGAAGCAGGGCTGTCCCGTTTTGTATTTTTTTTTTATTTTTGTTATGATACATTTATTTATTTACATTTATTTTTATTGTGTTGTTTTTACCTTTGCGCAAGCATTAAGCCTGGAGAAGGTAAGTAAGCTTGTTGGAAATTGAACAACCGCCTGTCTCATTTGGGACCCATCCGCGGTACGAGAGAGTTATGGGGGATGGGGAATCCGACGGGCTTCATTCTCCCCAATGGCTTTCTTGTCATGTCAGCAATCGAGCGGTCCCCGAAGAAGCGGGCTTCATTCTCCCCAATGGCTTTCTTGTCATGTCAGCAATCGAGCGGTCCCCGAAGAAGCGGGCTTCAAAGCAGCCTATAGTAGAGAACAGGCAGAAGGAAAGCAGAAAAAAAAAAAAAAAAAAAAAAAAAAAAAAAAAAAAAAAAAAAAAAAAGGAAAAAAAAAAAAAAAAAAAAAAAAAAAAAAAAAAGAAATGAAAAGACAAAAGTGAAAATGAAAAAAAGAAAAAATAAGGGAAGCGCAAAAGGACGAACGATAAGGACGATGGAGCAGCCTTTCCTATTTTCCCCTCCATTCCCGCCACCATTTTCTCTCAAGATGTGCCACTACGACCTTCCTGGTCTGGACTTGGGTGTCCAACTCACTAGTGGCTTTTTGGGCTATCCCAATCGTGACGTGCTGTTCGGAGACATGGCTTCTCCTTCCCAACCTGACTCGCCACACTCGCAACGGATACCAAGCCACACCCAGTGAAGGGGACGGTGCTGCACGTATGCCGATCAGGCAATCACCATGACTGATCAAGAATGAAGGCATCGGCGGGGTCACCGAACGCAGGAGCTGTAATCCACTCTGTGTGGTGTATTATGTATGCACTGGCACTCATGGAGTGTCTCCAGTGCTCGACGCACTGCATACCCACGACTGGTGGTCTGTTTCAGCCAATCTAACATCTCACACGCACCACTGTTGCGCTGCCATGCGTGCATGAGCATACCAGCTCCTGCTCGCCTACCGGTAGGCGGTGCAGATTCAGCTGGGGTCAAGGTTGGGTGGAGTCAAGTTCAAGGGTGAGGAAAGGATGATGCAGCTCGTCCTGGAGGACGTTGGCTCGCCAGTGACCCTCTCTGACGGCCGTTGGCCGGTAGGGGACATCCTACGCTTCGTATCAAGTACGCATGACTATGTAGATATCTCTCAGACGCATGGGTTACACATCAGTACATACCCATACTCATACACACCTACCAGGTTGGGCATATTCTGACACAAGGCTCCGGGGGTTACACAGGACCAAATTTGGGACTTTCTTGTGACGTTGAATCGCTTACCAAGTTCCAGAACAAATATAGCATGAAACAAGACATTCTACATCCGTGCCAGTCGCACCATGGGGAAACCCAATATTCCAGTGAACTAAAGGAGTTCGACAATACGGAGTAGACGACAATGCCAACACCAAAACCAACAATGGCCTAGTGAGGAAACGAAGAAGAAGCAGCAGCAGCAGAAACCAGTCACCGCCGGCGCAATGGATCTGGAGCCCTGCCGGCCAAGAGATTCTCGCATTAATTAATCACCGCTGATCTTTTTTTACATCTGATTTGGAATTCTGGTTGTTAGCGCCCCGCTAATCCCCTTCCGTCCACTCGCGACATGCACACCGTGACGTACCCTCAGTTCCATCCCCGATCCTGCATCCTGATTTGACAGACGGACTAATTAGGAGATTTACGCCCTTCGCATTATGGGGGGCATGTGGTGAACGACAACCGATCTGTGTTCATCTCGTTAACACTCATCCAAGTTATTCCCCTACCTCCTGTTCTGGCTCGAGCATGTTCCGCTTTTCCGATCCATTGGTCAAGGATGAAGGGCTTGGCAGTGGAGCCCTGGGTGACCGTTACACAATCTCCACGATGGCATATTATTCTGGTGGAAGCATCGAATGAGGTTCCAGCATCCGAACCTGCTGCGGATGCTGCAGATAGAGCAACTAAAGTTCCAACATCGCATCCATGGATCCCCCTCTGACCACGACCCAAGATACGGGGTACGTCAATTTGCCAAGCAGGCAGACGAGCCCAGTCAAGCGATCGTCAATATTAACAATTAATGCTCGAAATTGATTAAGCCCCAGGCACACACGCACAACGCTCAGTCAAATGTATGGATGCATTTAAAATTGATTATGGACAATTTGTATTATATTGGATTCTCTAACTACTACTGCCGCCGGGTAGAGCATCCTGACAGCTGAAACAATCCACCTCCAACATTACAATTTAGTGAAGCAATTTACAAAGCTCTGTCAGGTTTATTTTTAAAGCTGTCTCGTCTATTCCCATCTCCATCACCAACCCCCTGCCGACTCTATCGGCCATCTGGTCGCATGCCCAACAGAACCGATGCGGTTGTTTCGGGGACCTTAATATACGACTGTGGGGATTAGTGCGTTCAGCCAAAGAGAGAAAACAGAGAATGATGTTGAACCATTGGTGCGCCTCTTCATTCATCCCACACCCCCTGTCTTCTGCCCAAATGATGCGACATTAGTATCCGATATTATTAGTATTATTCTGTTACTTCCCCCCATAGATCTTGTTTTGTACTAGTGATGTGGATATGTAGCTGAAGCGTTGAGGTGCGAAATTCCCTTTTTTCCCTTCTACCAGAACCAACCTACGCAGTAGCTTGACTAGCTATTCTCAGATTTACGGTTTGATTTTCCCTTCTTCCCGCACCCGGTTTGATCGTCAGCTATGCAGATTTATGCATGGATGGGGGAGCTCTATTGTTCCAAATAGATTGTTTATAACAGCTTTCCTTCTCTTCTTCTCCGCCTCCTCATCCAGCTCCAAATATTGCCACTCCAATAGTCGCTGGGTGCTGCGCCCTCCTAACTATCATCCCCCAGAATGCCTCAGGGGGCGGCGCAGACACCATTCAGCTGAGCTCGTATGATCCCCATACACCATACACTCAACAACCCTATCCCATAACAGACGTTTGCTATTACCATTAACGCCCAACATCCATCTACTTCCGATACCTGACTAGAAGGGGGGAAGATGGGGGCGAAAACAGAAACCAGAGCCAGAAACAACCCCCAAACTAAATTCAAATGAAAAATAAAATAAAATAAATCTACGATACTGCTATCTCCAAAAACCACCCCCTCCCCCCCCCGAGATCTGATCGAATCAAATCAACCCTAGCCGATTTCCTTAAACGGAAAAAGCTCAACATCACTACTAACCCGCCCGCTCCGCCCGCCCAACGATTTGATTGATTTTCCCCGATCCATCCCATCCCATCATCATCCATGGATCCATCCATGGATCCATCCATCCATCCATCCATCCATCCATCCATATCCATCCCACCCACACTTTGGTTTGATCTCCAACCTCCCACCGACCCAATCCCTCTCGTCAAGATTCTAGTCGCTTCTCCGTAATCATCTACTTCCGACCACTCACAACCTCTATTCCCCTCCCTCCCCACCCCGTGAGTAGTGATCTTCCCGCGGTCCCTGCGAGGAAGACTCAACTTACTTACTAACTTACCGCCGGTCGGCGCGGTTAAAAAACGTCCTTCTTCTCCAAGCGACCGACCCAGAACCAAGGGTTGGTATTCACTTTAGTCGGAGTTGCTGTTGTTTATGTGAAACGGTCGCGCGAGGCGCTGTGCCCACGATTTGCATTCGGTTAGAGAGAGCACAGTTTCCACCCTGAGTCCCTCCCCCCCTCTCTCTCGTTTTCTTTCTTTCTCCTGAATCGAACGGGATGGATGGGTGGATGGATTCGAATCTGGAGAATCTGAAATCGGAAACGAAACGTGATCGATGCGATGCGATGCGATGGGTTTGAATGGTCGATCGCAGTGGAGCTTTGTTCGCTACGAGGGACGAGGCTGGAGATCGTTCACTTCTTACTCCATAGTATACAGTATACAGTAAACACGTTTTTATTTCTCGATTTAGTGGTTTTTATTTTCTCCTTATGAGGATATTTTTGACTTTTCCCACCCCCCCCTATATCCGACGGGGTTTTTCTGATGAACTTTCCTCTTTAGGTGGGCTTCGATATCGGAGTTGTTGATTTTTGACTTTTTTGGCTTTTCAACTTTCCTTTCCTTCGGATAAGGGATCGGGAACGGGACTTTCGGAAGAATATCTATCTAGTATGTCTCCGTGTTCCGTACTTGCGGGTAGGATAGGATAGGATTGGCCCGTAAGGATATACGCACACACACACACCTACCTTATTCTGTACAAGCTTGCTCTCGTAGGCGGTAAAAACAGCCGCCGCCGCCGCCGCCGCTGCTACTGCTACTGACGATGATAACGTATCCTGAGATGGTAAACCCCCATAGGACAAGACAGCCGGACAGAAAAAAAAAAGGTAAGTGAGTGGGTCTCAACTCACCCTTTTCTTTCCTTTCTTTCTTCCTTTCTTCCAATCTGGCCCCCTACTGCCTAACCTGACTTTAAACAAGAGTGCAGCAGACAGCATGACATGACACAAACCCCCTCCCCCCCATCATCCTCTCCCTTGTCTCGCCAGTTTTATCCAGATTGATAAGTAGTGCCCAAGCTTAATAGTGGCTGATATAGATTAGTTTCTACGGAGTAACCGCACAGCATACTCAGTAGAGTATAGTTTAGTTTAGTATAATATAATATAGTAAAAGTAAGTTAGCTAGCTATGTCTTGATGGGGCACCAACCACTGGTAAACTTCCTACCGTTTATTCTTGTTTAAGCTTCACAACCCCTTTTTTAACCAAAAAAAAAAATGAAATTGACTTTTTTACCGTCCCGTGAACATTTCCCTGATTTTCTTTCCCTTGCGAGGTACTCCGAAGATACATACATAGTAAGTAGTAATGCTAAGCGGAACGTAGAATTTGCCCGGTGGTTCCGAGCATAATTTATTTTCTTTCCCACTGGCAGGCAGGCAGGCAGCATAGCGGCGGGTATATCCGATGGCGATGGAAAACTTCCACCCAAACCACCTACCTGATTTGAAGAATCTGAAAAATTGGTCCTCCTTCAGCTCTTGAGCCTTCCTAGGATAGCATAGTACATACATAGTAAGTAGCTTGGGATGGGATGGGATGGGGTGGGATTTGTGTCTGGACTCTGGAACCTGGAGGATTCTCGGATTCTTTACTAATCTGAGCTTTCCGCGTCGTTGAAACTCTGCCCTGCCCTGCCTAGTCCATAAGTTAGTAGTACTATGGGGGTCACTCACTCCATCTGGAGAGTGGTGGTGCTTTAGTTAGTGCGGGCTGAAAGAGAAAGGAAGAATCGGACATCCCGCGCCAATTGGTCTGACTACTTCTTAATTACTTTCCTCATAATCTATAATTACTAAGGGGAAAGGAAACATGGTTTAAGAATAAATTAATTGCTGCCCTTTGCATATACCCATTGAGGTTAGATGAATGTGCAAGTGCGGAGTGTGTCCGTTGCTTTAATGGGTAAGCTACTAGCTAGTAGCTAGAAAGGTAGTAGCTTAGGAGTTAAGTCTTGCCCGCATTTCCGGGTGGTTTTATTCGTCTGTTGGGACTGGGATGTTGTAGTTGCGCTTGCGGCTATAGCGGAGGGTGATACTTAGTCTTATTACGGAGTGCATGGGTATCTTTGATTTGATTGTTCCGGGGGGGGTTTGAAGTTGGTACTTATTATTATTATTCTATTCTATCGTATTGAGATAGTACTTATTACATGGAAATAGACACTGCATGCATTACTGTCTTCTTCCTCTACTAATCCTTCAGTTTAACTACGGAGTCACACTAACCAATTAACTAGATAGCACTAAATAGCAGCAACACCACCCCCCTGGAACCAAGAAGTGGAACCCTCAAAAAACTGACCACCAGAAGAAAGCTAAGTTAGCGCAAGCACAGTCTCGACGTTGAGATTCGAGCCCGATTTCCACCATTTGATTGGATGTCGGAGGATCTCGGTGTGGGAGGTGAGTGGGTGATCGATGATCGACTTGGCCTGGTTAGGATTAGGGTACCCGCCTTGCCGGTCCGCCCGTGATCGGCAAGCAAAAAAGGCAGTTAACTAATCTGGGATTCTTCCTCTTTTTTTTTTAAAAAAAAATCGTGGTTATAATGGGTTAGCTTCGTATTCTGTAACGCTACGCGGAGCTACTACTTTTACTGAGGGAGGATGGGGTTTGGGTAATATGAGGTGTCATTTTTGGTAACCTGATGCAGGTATATAGAATATGGAATATTTATGGAATTAGATGATTTCAGTTTCGTTTTCTCATGTAAGAATCATAATAAAAGTCATGATGATGATTATATTCCTAATTTGTCCATAAAAAGCAAGACAGCAAGCAAGCAAAGCGGCATCAATGCTCCCCGAGCGCAGGGACCCCCGAAAAAAAAAATAATAAACGCTAAGTAGATAGTTTACCTTGTTGATGGATAGACAGTCGACGACACACTTACCGCACACACTCACACAGACCACTTTCCCAATTCGAATTTGTGCGAAATCAAGCCAAGGCACACACCATTGACAAGTATTTGTCAACTGGGTGGGTCCCTCCCGGTATACTCCGTATGACACTAAAAAGTTACTTAAGTAGTGTGGGTATGTAACATACCCTTGTATAGTGTGTATTGGCTTGTTTTGTTTTCCTCTTGGTAACCGCATACACAGATACAAGGGGGGGAGGAGGCCGCCAACCAAATACGCAATACGACCAGGGACAAGCGCCCAATGCACAAACCCCTTCTGCGTAAGGGGTTCCTGCTAAACCACGTGGAGATGCGCTTGTCAGATACAAGCCGTTGCGGGTGTATGGTTTTGTATTGTATTGATACCATCACTACTCTGCCTGTGTTTTGTCTGTATTACAGTGTTTGTTTGTTATGTATGAGCGTAATGGATGAACGAGGGGGCGAAGTAGCTCAGCTCCATCCACCATATCTCCATCCATCCATCTATCCATGACTATATTCATGTCTCTCTAAGTAAGTTATGTGGTAAACTCAATCCAACCCCCTTTGTCTAGGGGCAAGTTCTCTTTCTGCTTACAGTGATGCTGTTGCTAACAACGGTTTTTGGCAGCGAGGCTGACGGACGGATTAGATCGGACTTATTGATTGTCCCTCCCCCCCCCTGTGCCACGCAGTCACTCCAGTCTTTCTCCTTGCTGGGAGATGAATTTGAGTTTTAGTGTGTTTTTTTCCCTAATGTTATTTGATTTATTCATGTACATACCTGCTGTAATGGGTTAGAGATGGCAGCTACGCCTCTTTTACATACATACACATTCCATACCACGGGAAAAGTAAAGTAAAGTAGGACGTGTGTGACCTAAGCCACACGATCTGATCGATCGGAGGCGCCGACATACTCACTTACTAAGGTGAACTCTTTCAAACAAACTAAATAACTCATTGACTGACTAGTTGGTTTAGTTAGTTAGTTAGGTTAAGTATGGCATGTATGTATGCATGCACTTAGGCAGAGATTCTCATCCGTCTTCCTAAAGAGGATGTTTCATGACTCGCGTTTTCCAAATCATTAAAGGGGAAGGATAAGCATCGGGGAGGAGGCAAATAGGGCAGGGGTATGTGTGTTTGTGTTTGTTGTTGTGTCTATTTTTTGCTTTGTTTCGAAGTTCGACGGGGTGTTCTAGGGTGAGGGTGATCGTGTGTGGGATTGATCAATCGCTTGATGGGATATTATAGTATGGAGATAGGAGGATCATCGTAGATGTGTTAAAGTAGGGGGGGCGGGTTTCAGGTATTTCTTGGATAGATAGTATCTATCTATCGTGTGTTTCTATTTGGCTGTCCAGTTACCCCCGACTAAACGGGCCTACGATTAAGGAATATTATGCATGATGTATCGGTACATGTAGATGTAGATAGATACGGAAGGAGGATAAGGATGACACCCGAATAGCACGACCTGTCCTGCTGCCTGTCTGTCTGTCTCCAGATCATATGCACAAGGCTAACTAGCACTCAACCATCCCTGCCGGTATTATCCTCCACGCTTTCCCTGTATGTAGGATGGATTGTCTGACTCCGTTTAGTTTTACTCCACCACAGGATGGGGTCAACCCAGACTAGGAGATATTGGCTGCATGAGGAGCCACCGATAGTACGGAGGATAGTTGACCAACCAGTTGGCAGAGTTTGGGGGGCGCACGATCCAGCCTCGAGACGCGAAAACGAGGAGAATTGATGCGAGAGTGGCTGCCAACTAGTACTCATTAGGATATCAATTCAAGAGGGAGGGATTTCTGTACTACGACAGATCGTCGTGAGGGAAACGAAGGAAGGAAGGAAGACGAACCGGGATCCTGGGTTCGCGTGACCCCTACTGCTGTAAGCCATCAGTCAAGTCAAAAGGGAAAAAAAAAAAACAAAAAAAGTCTATAGTGCCGTTGAGAACAATCCCTGTTTTTTTTTTTTTCTGCTTTTGACTCTGTGATCGCTTTGTTCTGGATGATTATCGATCGCTGACCAAGCGTGGATGCCATGTGCGTGGTGATGAAAAAAAAAAGAGATAGTGGTTAATTATTTACCTTCTTTGTATGATCTAGATTCAATAACTACGCTGCTCATCATAGATGGATTGTCAAGACATCAGCTGGGTACTCCTCTGCCATCCATTTACTAGTCTTACTCACTTATGTAGGTAATAGACGAGCTAACCGAACCCAAAAAATCTTTCTTGACTAGTGCCACTCGACTCATCCATGAAGACTCCGACTCAGACTCAGGTCGGGGTAGTTAGCTGATTAGCTAGTGAGGCTGGCTAGCTGACATCACGACCAGCCTGTTTGACAGATAACCCAGACTAAAACCAACGATGATAAACCCCGAAGGCGAGGAGAAAAGGTCCCCGATCCCGAGCCACGCAACCATCCCATCCCCATTCCCCATTCCCCATCCCTCCGCTAGCTAAACTAGTGGGGATTACCTGTTGAAGCCGCTTGCTTTTGCATCGAAGGATTGGAATGCTGGTCATTGTCATACATACGCCATCCTTGCTGCTCTTGGAGGAGAGGAGAAGGAGGAGGTAGGTGCTCATGCTGGCTCGACGGTCGTTGACTATCCCTGCACGCGGGTTGGAAACCGCACCTTTGCAGCAAGGTATGCGATTTGGAATTCTCCGTTGAGGGCTGCATGTGATGCCACCGGGTTCTTGTCCCACGCCATGTTATCCATCTAGTGGCCGAAGGATGGAAGTACGGTTTTGGGGGTGGTGGATGGATGGTGCTGGATAGGTCAGAAGTGGCGAATGATGGGAGTTGGGTGTCTGGGAGGGAGAGAGTGCTGATGCAGCCTTGTGATCAGTTAATGATGCTTATGCATGATTCAGTATTATGTAGTCACTGCTTGGAGTGAGTATAGGCGTTGATGTGGTCAATGAAGGGCTTGAATGATGTTGATATTGACAACTATATGGTGAATTATGCTTCGCAGTGATAGAATGAGTCTGTATTAATTCTCAAATCTGCTGCTTCTATCTCCTCTTCTTCTCCTCTCTACTCCCATTATATTCTACGATAGAGATACAAGCAAGTTCTGTCTCTTAAAGCGCTGATACTGAGTCCATCCTTTCGCCCATATGCCACTACAGGGCTATTCCTACTACCAATAATGTCATATAGTAGCCTCTTTATATCTTAAATATTGCAGTTCCATATATCTCTATAATCATAGCACAATATTCTTCCCATACTAAAGCTAGTTCTCAACATTGCAGACTCTAGAAGAGACGAACAATACCTGACCCTCTCCCCTCCCCGCCCCCAACCTGTCAGCAACCTCTACACACCTTCAGAGTCTTCGAATCGTCGTTGGTCAAAGACTTCAAAGAACATATAAGACATGTTCAAACACGGTACTAGCGCCGATGCTTACACTAGGCCACAAAAGATGTCATGGCATTCTCTGGACATGCTATTGCGACCCAGAGCAAACTCCTACCGGTTCTAAAGATGCGTCTACCGTTGGAGGATAGCCACAAATACGACACTGGGCCAGAACAGAAGCTGCTGTGAGGCCTGCGACGGCTTACATACAAGGGCAATAGCACCATGTCTCAGATAAGCAACACCGTCACCGTCACTGGGGTTCACCCGACTTTGAGCATCTGGTTTCATTCATACCCGGAGGCGAGCGCCAATACAAAGCTCTTCTGAAAGAGCATGATGAGGATCAGTGGATTGTTTCATATATCGACATGTGCTTTTAGACAAAGAGATCCATTCATGACTATGGAAGCTATATCCGAATCGAAGTCCATCTAATGTGTCGCAAGTACCTGGACCTTTCAGTAGAAATGGACACATTACTTCAGAAATTATTCGATGAGACATGCTAATACATAGCTCTATCCTACGATTCAGCGAACGCATCAGTCAGGATATACCACTTGGTCTTATCCTTTTACTTCCACTACCAGTATATCCTAGCAGCTAGCTCTGCGAGCACTGGGCGGGCAAGTTCTTTTCATCGTTCAACTCTTGTTCTGCAAACCTCGTTTGCAAACAACTTATGGCCGATAACTCATGCCCAGCATATGCGTTTGAAGAGGTCTTATGGGTGAGCATACCGGGAACGCGTCTTGCTCATCATTACATTCAAGGGTCGGTCTGCACTGGTTATACATAAACTGCTGATTACATATCACAGCAACCATGTTCGACACTCATACCGGTCCTCTTACTCCACTCGGTTACTGTCCATCTCCCATGGCAGCTGATCTTGCACATGCGCCGATACGGCCCAGTCTCCCTCCGTCCTTCGCTATCCACAGACAGAATCCTAGCCCGGCTTAGGGTACGACTACCACGATCCATAATCGGCATATGAGGAACTTCGTGTGATATATGGGAAGGAATTAGGGTCGTTCATGACCGTGTAAGCCTGGACATACTCGAGAGAAAAGATCATATCGATGAATTGCGCTACCAGACCACGAGGAGAAATTCCGGGCATGGACAAATGTTGGAACTGGGCTTCCTATCCACTTCTTGGAGAGATTATGGTCTAGTGGACATGAGCTTTCCTTAAATACTCCATACCACGGCAGAGACCTCCAGACGCATGCCTCGGTCCTCAAGCTACATCCATCGTTGATAAAATTGTAGTAGCTCACCAGGTCATCGCGTGACTTGTTGAGTGCTCGACATCACGGGCTCTTTGCTGTTCTACATCTAGTCCTATCATGACGGCTAGATACCAGGTGCTCTTTAATATAGTTCTTCTTTGGCCTAGGCTAGCTACCAGTTGAAGTGGAATATGTAATTCTCCCTGGGTTACAAGGAAATATTTCATCAACTTCAACGACTACATGGTGGGCAGGATTGCGAACTACATGCAGTTGTGAACATGATTCAAGCACTGGAACCTTCGCTGGTGCTTATACATGTCATATCTTTGCCAAGCAGGCCAAAACTATTACTATGGGCACCCAGGTCAGATGGGGAGTATGTCTCAGCATTTATTTGCTAACGACTCACGGCAGTGGATTTTATCCTGCAGTTGTTCCTACTGGGGGCTCCTAGAGAGGTTCAGGGACCATTGGAAGAAAACAGAACTATTCTTTGAATCACGATCGTCTTAGCGATGATGTTGGTGACAAAAGATAGTGTATCCACGAATAAGTACATAGCATACCTAGCGATGTCACCTGCGCTATGTGCTGCGATGTCCGCTGCGATATCTATATAGGATCATCTCGTTGCCTGAATTATCCCATCGCAACTAGAAGAAGTCTGCCAAAGACGAATTAATCAAGGACACCTGTCACGTCATATACACCCAGCAGCATTTCGAGACTTGTGGTTTTCACTATCAAGCCAGAACCATCTTCGCGGGAAGTCTTCGGCACATAACAGTTCCAATACTATGTTCTTGAGGTCATTAACCAGGGTGTCTAGGGATGTCTACAACCACGCCAAATATGTTTCCGGTGTTGATCATACAGCATCGAATGTAATGCAAAATGGGGAGAAAATGGTATAGCGACTGTCATTGGGGTTTGTTCCAGATCAGCGTCTGGGTGTCTAGCAAGAGTCGTCGACTTTCCGACCATTCGTCTGCGTGACAAAAATGGCAGACTCGGCGGCCTGCAAGTTATGCAAAATGACCCATAACATGCTGTAAGGATGTTAGAATCTCGGACAAAGCCACACTGTCAGATACATGATCCTGTGAGAAACACGCGCAGTATCTTAACTACAATAACAACATCATATCCTACATTCCAAGCCTGTCTGCCTCTCTCGGTGAAGACCTAACGAATAGTGTATATGTGGAATCAGAACACACTCCTTCGAAAGGAAGACAAAAAGAAAATATACTATCTCGACGACAACTGGTCTCCTTCTTATTATCTCCTCGCAGCTGCCGGTGCTTGTCGTGATTTCTACATATCTATTCCCATTTAATTTCTCGACACGAAATTGTTATCATAATGCCAATACATGACTTATGAGAATAAGGCAGAGCAAATGCTTTTTCTTTTGTTACGGACACACACACCCACACAACGCGGGTCCAGGGAAGAAATGACCAAGGGACTGCTGCGGCTCAAGGTGAAGGACCTGCTAGAGCTGCTGGCAGACCAGCCACATCTCAGACTAATAACCAAACGACTGCCGAACAAGTGGCCGGTGGCGGCAAAAGACAGATCAGAGCCATGGAGGGTGAAGAGTTCGACTTTAAAAAGATGCTCAATGGCGTCATGGTCGAAATGACCCTAGCCCAACTGTTTCGATGTTTGCCCTACGGCTCGTGCGGAAACAATCAAATTAATGAAGTTGAAACCCAAGGAGTCGTCGACTGCCACGAGAAAATAACCCACGAGGCCAGAGGGCAGGCCAAATACCCACCCATTAGAACGATGAGGTGATCAATGAGTGCATTGCTCCGGTAAGTCCTCTTCTTCCGTGTCATTTCAATACACCGTCGGCGGCATATCAAAATAAGTCGCTCATTTTATGATGAATTCTCATATTTAGAGGTGGAGGAATACCTTAAATGGAGACTACAATCGGCACAGCATGAAGCGAGAGGTGGTAGCGGCTGCTAAATTGGGGCATGTCGCTGAGAGGGGTGGATTAATGGTGGCTGTGACCATAGTAGGGGGCGATGGGGAATTATATTAGATAAGGGGATAGTTGGATTTTTGCGATATCATTACACTTCGGTTGCAAGAAGAATAAAGTTTTCGAAATGATTGTATATATGTAATCTACGGTCCGCATTAGTAGATATATACTAAGACCTTCAGTATAATAGCAGTAGCAAAATCATGTACAGCGCCAGATAACCAACCCAACCCAACCCAACTACCCACATAGCATGACACAACTTAGTGAAAAAAAAAAAAGACACAAACAATTGACAAAAGTCCAATAGCACACACTAAATACATTCTCTGATAGATAAAAGATTTCAAGGTCAAATAAAAAAATGCAAAAAGAAGTGACTAGACTGGGGCTCGATCCCAGGACCTTATGCGTGTGAAGCATACGTGATAACCAACTACACCATCCAGCCAACTTGTTGATGTTTGCATCCCCACCATGGTACATAAGTAGCCGATACTTATCCGGTCATTTTATGCTTAGCCTGAACGGTCGTAAATGCACCATGACCTCTTGTCTTGATTGTCATCTCTGTTATTCGTGTAAGCCATAGCTGTGAGAGGTTAGAGAGAGCACGTTCTTCTAACACTTCCACTGCTGCGCCCCAGTCACATGGACATGATTGCCATAAGGCTTGAAGCCAGCCGCGACTGGTGCCTGGCACAGCAGGAAATGAGGCTGTCTAGTAATCACAACAAGACGACCATGAGATATAAATACGCATATAACTAGAGATCAGTTTTGCTTTCACGATCAGAAAACAGAATCCCCATTTATCTTTGCCTATCCCTGCAACGCAACTGCAACCATTTCTAGCTCGCTGAGCCCACTGTGCTGAGTACGTCTGCTGTCTGGCATTGCAAGCATGGCCGAACAGCTCACCAACCTTGTCAATACATTCGGAGGAATGAGCTTTGCCGATAGATCA